GCCGTTCATTGAGTGACTTAACTTTGCGTTTCAAATGCTCGAAACAATTATGACTGACCCCTACTCTATCGCCACAGTCATCACATACCGGGTTCAACAGACAACTGTCCAAATGAGCACTTAAATCGCCTAATCGTATCACTTGACCGCAACCCTCGTCATAGAATTGGCATTTAATCTTCAGATTCTGCCACAGATTGATGACAATCCTCTGCGGTGTGACCAACCCTTTCACAGTCAATGGGTGTAAACTACTGGGACAATAGGTATGGGTTGATAGCCATTGGGTGATACAATCGCGGCAATAGGTGTGTTGACAGCAACCATCAATAACCGGGTCATTTAGTATGAGTTCGCATATATTGCACGTATACTCGTTGAGGTCGGTGTCGGACACCTCCACGAATCGGGATCTCTCGTAACCCGGCATTGGATTCAGAGTTTTAGTTGACTCTTAAGTTTGTAACATTAAAGTGAAATATTAATAAAATTGATAACATTACTGTAAATAAACGTTGAAATTCACGTAAACGCTTTTAGATTATTGCTATTAAATGTGATTTTTATTTGAGTCAAAATAGCATTTACATTAAAACTGATAATAGTATTATCTATTATAGTCTGTCATTACAGTAGTTTATTTGTTATATTATATTTAAGGTTTATAATTAATTATGAGAATTATTACTATACTTACTAACAAATAAAATTTATTTTAAATTATTAATAATAAAACAAGCAATCATAATAGAATATTGTGTTTATTTCGAAATAATAACTTATATTTAAATACAATTAAATTACATTATTTTATATTGGAGTAGATATAAGAATATTCATTTCTAATGACATTATTAACGCGATATTCTTATACAGGTGTATATAAATCCATATAAAATTAGTGCCCAGCTACTAAACACTCCAAATACAACTTTATTAGGACTAAATTTATTCTTTATTAGATCTTCGCCCACAATCGGCACTAAAACCAAAGCCGCCCCAAAACCTAGAGTTAAAAACTAAACACCATGCACAAATATTATTAATACTATAATATGTTGTCAAAAATAATATTCTACAAACAAATGTTCATGCACAATACAAACCGATAAAGCAACTATGCCTTCCGTATTCGTTAGCTTTGGTATCGTATTTTGCTTGATTAGGTTGAGCTCATTTTCCAAGTTTATTAGCCGTTGGCCAAGAAATTGTACCCTGTGCCTTAAATTATCGGTACAATTGTGATCGACGCCTACCCTATCGCCACAGACATCGCACACCGGATTCAACAGACAAGTGTCCAAATGAGCGTAGAAATCGCCTAATCGTATGACTTGACCGCAACCGTCATCATAAAAAGGGCACTTAATCTGCATATTCCTCCACAGGTTGATGACAATCATCGGCGGTGTCACCAATTGATTGATAGTGAGCGCGTGTAAGAGACCTGGACAATTATCATGGGTTGATAGCCATTGGGTGATGCAGTCCCGGCAGTATGTTATTTGACAACAGACACTAATAACCGGGTCATTTAGTATTAGATCGCATATATTGCACG